GTACCAGCAGTAAACACCCTCTTTACCAGTACTAATTATTTTTCTCTTAACAATGCAATGGAATCTAATGCTCGTCGCGGCAATATGGCCATTGGAGTTATTCATTTCGAAGTTGCATTTGAATTTAGAGTGTTGTTTAACCTCCCACGCATGCCACTCTGCCATTGTAATGGCAGTACATGTCATCTCTATGAAACCAGTTGTATGCCTTATTATTATTATGCATTATGTACGGTACACTACACTTATGAATCACCTTAGAAAAGACCCGACTATATAGAGGATATACTGTGGTGGTTTTGTCCCATAGATGTCCCTCAACTAACTTGTAGATGGCTCACGCAATAGTCCTTCCCATGGCCAATGCTTGCCCCACAGCTAACCCTCAAGTGGCCCTCGTGTATCCTGGTTTTTTTTTACCTAAACCTGACCCACCCTAGATCATGTATGTGTCCTAACGCGCATATCCCAAATGGAACCTGCAAGTAACCTCAGGGCTACATTTGGGATACATTGGGGTCATAACATTTTGGTGATCCCTTTTATAATTTCCAACAAAACGCAATGCTTATCTACACCGACGAGCAGTGACTTACCACGCTGGAGACTTAACATTGCTCGACACTCAAAACCTTCGACTGCCCATCGTCCCAAAACTCCGCCCTCGTTACTGCAGACTGTTTACTATCAGACACATGATATTCTTCGTTACAACCCACCTACTATTACCAGCCTCCTGGAACGTAAGCACGGCATTTCACGTGCGACTGTTATGACCATACGTTGCCAGCACCAGTAAATTGTCACGCCATCGGGCCAAGTGGAACATCTGACCGCTCACCAAACCTACAGTCGAACCGGCGAAGATACTCAGCCATCGGATCAAGGACCCTCGAGGGGTCCACCTGGTCGAGTTTCTGATATCATGGAAATACCGGACGGCCCTGGAAAACAATTGGGTGCCCCTGGCACAGATCGAGAATTACCATGTATTACGAGTCTACCTCTAGTCACGCAATGTGTGCGACGTCGGCGGTCTTAGCTAATACCATACCTTGGGGGGGAGAGGGTGTAAGGAAATTGTATTTCCTCATCACGGGGTTTAGTTAGTAAGGCGTACAGTGCTATATGGGGTTGTCGTGCAGCAATGCCACTAAATTCAAAAGTGTGGCCTCCTGACGAGCCCTATGCACTTTGCCTGCCTTGTTGTTTCATGCTAGATCTGGGCGCTTCGCGTCACTTTACAAATCACATGTCGCAGCTCTGCCGAGCCACGACCGTTTGCTCTAGGCTAGCTATATCCATACGCTCTGTTGTTTTGATGTTGCCTCAGTTGTGTTGTTTCCTCACCAATCAATTATTCTATACACGCTCTTTTCGCTTCATTACACATAATAAGCTTCTCCCTCTCCCATGCGCTTCTGCTCTCCGCTGCATCTTGTGGGACGCGAGTTCCCAGCAGCATCTTGTGTGACATGGGCAGCATTTCCTTCCTGTCTGTAGCAACTCAGATGATTGCACTTTCCTCCCTCGGGATTCGCCAATGGTGGCGCCACGGCTCTGTTCCCTCCAGCCACTAAGTTCTCCTCCTGTTACTGTGCACCAATCCATCTTCTTCCCCGTCGGGCCGACGAGATTGGGTGGCATAGACTAGCTGTAGTCCTAGAATTTTGGCATAGTAAACCTTCGAACATCTGACGGAGAGGGTGCACTGACCGACGTTGCTCCAGAACACCTGAAGAATCCAATGCGTAGAATCTGGATCATGGTGGTTTTTACACTACAGAACAGTTCAACATGAAGGGCGTGTTTGTAACCCCTGAAACCCGGAACGTGAAGGCGACGACAGCTTTTCCCACCGTCCTGGCTGCCAGACTCCATCCCCACCTCGCTGCCAGGGTGTGGTCAACTAGTCGCTGCCACTGTAGTACCATTTAGTGGCCGAGCACCATTTTATCGTGGAGTAGCATCATCCCAAAAATTAGGGTGGCAAAATGATACCCCCAAGACTGCCGCAGGTAACCTGAGGGTTTCGCGCTGGGGGGTAACCCTGGTGCTTCCGACTGAGTGACCTCGGGGAAACCGACGGTCAAAATGCCTTTCGATGTGACACGTGGGAAACCCACGAAGTCACACCTTTCCGAAACCTTTGGGTTACCCTCAAGTGTCATCAGGGCTAGGTGGGGGGAACGTGAGGGCATCCCATTTCCGAGGCGCGTCCTTGATACAAGCCAGTCGATAAGCGTACAGTAACTTATAATACACCTAAAAAGTAATTAAATGCTCTCATACAAAAATTATATTAGTACATTCCATTCGTGTTCTCCAATGCTCATTTGCCAATAGCAGACCCGACAGATTTTACAGGTTTACAGCCAAAAAATATTGCTTATACATACAGATTTTAGTGAACAGGTTTACAACATTTCAGTATTCAAAATTCCGACATGTTATTGATAATACATATACCACAAATATTTCGGACTGGAACGAATGGTTCGTAATTCCGTGGAGGTGACAATCACCAAACTTAGTACACATGATCTGCACAGTAAGGATGGAAACGGAAAGCAATAAGCAAAACTGCTCAAAAAGAAAAAAGACAGGGAAAGGAAGAATAAACAAAACCAGTTTACGCTTCTTACAGTTAGGCAGCCAGAGCCCGGACCAGAGAAACGCTTCACAAAAAGAGTGTTGGCACAACCCGAACCTCTCTCTGTACAGCTCCGGCAGGATAAGAGACATCGCAAGTTGGCACGGCTGCTGTGATGAAACAAGACGAAAAAACAGGCATACACAGGTATGCAATGGCAAACCGCGAAAATGTGCCTTACCCTTCATCGTAAATGGCAGTGAGCCACTGTCGAAAACGCGACTACCAGTATCAGCCAAATTAATCACGTGCCATCACCTGAACGACAGAGGTCCAAATTTCTGAAAGAACCTTTGTCTTCGTCCTGGAAAAACGAAAAGCGGGAATAAGACACGATTTGAAGTGACAAAACGCCATAACACGAATGCCAACGTCCGACCAAAGACCATGCAAGAATGGGAGTTGTGACCGGGACAAAACCACAAACGGGGAATCAAACATATGAACCAGACTCGGGTACGGGTCGACGCGCAGAGTTGTACCTAGGGTATACGCACAGGTACGACATCGATAAGCTGACCGTCCAAGGGCCGCGGGCTTGGGTATCTGAGAGAAACAAAGAAGATAGTATAGCGTTAATTCACGAATTGTGACAGGATGGGAGCGGCTAACTGGCACGCGTTGAAAGAAATCGAGCATGAAAGGCAGGGATGCTAACACGAAGTGAAGCGTTCACCCTAACCTGGTCGCCGTGCCTGATGTGAACGGTGCATCGCGTAGGAAGAAAGGTAGAAACTGGCGTGAGAAACAATGAATGGAAGGATTGAGGATTGAGTTCAGTTGAAGTCCAGTGAGAGCAGCCAGATTAGCCAAACAGAGAACTTGGGTTTGGAGTCGTGTTCCGAGATTCGAGTCTGTGTGTTCGTTGCGTAGCGCTGTCCGTTGAACACCATATGTCGTGGGCATATTGAGCCGATATTTTGTAACAAGGCCTTAGATTTCGACTTTCAGACTGAACATTGTCGTTTGAAACCGCCTAGAAGAACGCGCCCCACCTTCGTTCTGTCCTTACCCAGACTTGTGATTTCGCATGAGTTGGCAGCCGAAGAATAGGAGAAAACGCTGGTGTGCTCTCATCGGTCAGCTGTTGGAAGACCGTACCCATCAATATCGTACGCGTAAAAGCGGCCCCGTCTAGAGAAATACAAGTTTGATCATTTATGTCTAACTAGTTTTCCACTTCGCTGTACACGCGTGTATGCAATTGGCGGCACAACTCCAGGCCTGGGCTTCGCACCTTGCTATTGGCCAGCACGAACTGATGGTTTGAGTCCAAAACCAGCTTGGTAAGCAGATCCTGATTGGCTGTCAAGTTTCGCAGCGAGGGGTAGCGAATTATTTTGCCTAGGTAACAGCTTCGCCTTCCGCACAGGTTTCTCCTGGCACTCTTGGGGGGAACAATGGGGCATCCTGGCGTAGGACACCTGTGGGTATCCCTCGCCCCCAAGGCCGTTTTGCCTTCGCAGAATTTTGGGATGATTTGGTGGTTGGGGCAGCTTCGCCTCTGTCACGGTGACGTGGGAAGAATCGGACTCGTTGTGGCTGTGCTGTGCTGTGCTTCCCTCTGAGGGAGTCGCTGCTAGGGACTGCCGGCTCGAGCTGGTGGCGGTGTCTGTCGGAGCCGCTTGGCCCTTGGTACAGCCGGGGGTAACCCAAGGTTCTACACTAGATTTTTGAAAGAGGCTCATTTGTTTTAGCCGGTTACTCCAATAACGAACGCCTTCAAATCGTTGGCAAATTGGGCCTGAAGGTAGGACCATGGTTACCCGTTTGGCAGGACCCTTGGAACATGGAAGACATTCGTTGTTTCTCCCGTGTACCCCGGTAACTGTCGCACAATCGCACCCTGGTTCCGAGTCAACCTACAATTGTTCCTTCTGCATGTTCGCTCCCAGCAGTGTCGCAAGTGGTTGAGCCGCCCAAAATTGGGCCAGTCCAGGACGGGCCGTAGCTGTAAATCCGTGCCAGTCGGACTGGCGAGTGCATGAGGGCCTCTGACGAATGGGCGGTTCACTGGACGTCATGTGTATCATCTGCGGAAAAAACCTGCCCAGCGGGCTGACCTGACAAACTGCCAAACCACTTATCTGACAAAAGTCCTGCCAGGGGTTATCACTGGTATCAAGCGGGATCGCTCTGATCTGGGGTCATTGTTGCCCTGGCAGGGGTTTTGCTGCTAAGCGGAGGTGGAGGTGTTGGTGTGCGCGGCGAGCAGTAGAATGCGTCTCTCGCTGCTCGGGCGTCGGCTTACGCACCTATGCCGTACCTACTGTATACCTACTCCGTATTTCTGATCCTGGAATTTCTCGTAGTACGAGCAAGTTGCTGAGCTCGTGCGGCCTCGTTGGACACCTCGTTCGACTCTTGTGTTTTTTGGTGGCCCAACTTGTCTATTCGGGCCGAATCTCGCTGCACTCTCGCGTCTTGCACCCCTCCTTGGCAACCCTGCCGTCCTCCCTGGAAGCCCAGGCGGACCACCACCGCGAGTCACACGCTACACCTATCCCGCGCCATTTTCTCATGTCGCTGTAGCTTCGTGTTCTGTACTGTACCTTGTCGATTGCGCACCCCCTTCCCCCGGGGCCCTAGCGACGCCCTCCCCCCCTCTCCCCCAGACTCTTGTCGCACGACGGGACCCGGCGATGCCGTGGATCCGCCTGGGGGTACTAGAGCCCCTGATGGAGTCTCTAGTAGAGCCTCTAGTAGAGCCTCTGCTACCCCTCCCTTGGAGTATTGCCAGATCCACTGCGAGTGAACCTAGGATCCTCTGGCAGTCGACCGGACCCCTACTTTGCCCCTCTTCACATCATATTCCCCTTCACTTCCCCACCGGGCCGTTCCCTGGCCGCCAGCACAGTCGCTCACTTGCCGTCCTGCTTCCCATTCTCGCTGACTGCTCCTTCGTGCCAGCTGCTGCCAGCAGTGCTGGGCCAGGATGTCTCCTCGCCTCCCGTTAGTAGCACTAGCCGTAGCGCTTCTTCTCCTCGCCGCGGCCGTCGCGGGAGTGCATGCGTCGGGGGGGAATGTGGCGCACTTCCGCAGGCTTCTGACCGCCGCAGGCGGGAGTAGCACTGCTGATAATAAGGGCAACGCGGCGGAACTGACAAAAGATTCCCCCCATGCTTCCGCGGAGGGGGAAGCACTTGAAGTGAGGGCGTCCTCCCCTGATTCTTCCGCGGAGGGGGGTGAGGCGGAGGCGGGAGCAGGGGGGAAGCCTCCGGTGCTGCAGCTGATTATTGTGGAGGAAGGGCACGCGGCGGGTGCAGTGTGCTTAGACGGGACTAACCCTGGGTTCTTCTATCGGAAGGGCTACGGCTCAGGCAGCCGCAACTGGCTGCTCTTCTTCGAGGTGTGTGCTTGTAACGACCGGCCCTGCTGACATCCCTTCCTTTACTTCCTTCACTTGCTGGCAGTCCTAACCTTCCCTTCCCGTTGTTTCAAGTCTCTACTTCCCCTCCCCTCCCCCTCCCCTCGCCTTTCTCCCTTCCCCTCCCCTTCCCCTTCCCCTTCTCCTTTTCCCATTTTAGGGCGGCGCATGGTGCGCGTCCCCCCACAGCTGCGCGTACAGGGCGCACACGCGCCTGGGGTCGTCGGACCACTTTGCGTCGGTGGAGGAGATGGTGGACCCGCAGAGCGGCGCCATGAACGGCATGCTCAGCGCCAACCGCACCGTCAACCCGGGTGAGGGAGGGAGCACGGAACAGAGGGGCAGTATGGATGGCCAGATGGGTGGGCCACCGGTTATGGCTTGATGTGACTGTTGACCTGACTTATTCCATGCCCCCCGCCTCTCCCTCCTCTCCTTCATGCCCCCTCTCACTCCTCCTCTCCCCCCCCCCCCCTCCCACCTCCTTTCCCGACCTGCCTCCCGCCCACCAGACTTCTTCAACTGGAGCGCTGTCTACTTCGTCTTCAGACTTATGCTTGCCTCCTCTCCCTCCCCCCCGCAACCCCCCTCCAGACTTCTTCAACTGGAACGCTGTCTACTTCGTCTACTGCGATGGCGGGTCGTTTGCTGGCGACAAGGAGGAGCCCGTCCTCTCCGATGTGAGCCCAGCTGCTCCCATTCCTGGCAACCCCCAAATCTGCACTCCCCATTCCGCCTACTCCCCTCCTTTCCCGCGCCTCGAACCGTTCGCCTGATGCCCTTTGCCTGAAGCCACTGCTCGTTTCCCTGCCTTCCCTTGTGTCCTTCCTTGCTCCTCTCTGCCCACCGTGCCTCTCTGCCCACCGTGCCTCTCTGCCCACCGTGCCTCTCTGCCCACCGTGCCTCTCTGCCCACCGTGCCTCTCTGCCCACCGTGCCTCTCTGCCCACCGTGCCTCTCTGCCCACCGTGCCTCTCTGCCCACCGTGCCTTTCTGCCCGCAGGGCAGAACCCTGTACCTGCGCGGGAGGAGGGTGGCGGACGTGCTTCTCAAACGCCTTGTGGAAAAGATGGGGCTCGACCAGGCAGACAGGGTGAGAGGAAGGAGGGTGAGGGGCGGGGGAATGGGGGCAGGTGAGGAAACGTGCTGCGGCTGACGTGCTGCGGCTGACGTGCTTCTCACGTGCCTTCTGGAAAGGGTGGTGCTCTCCCTCTCTCTGCTCTTGTGCTATGCTCTCGCTGCACTGCAGGCGGCCGTTGCGGGGGTTTCAACCATCTCTTTCCGCTCTTCCTTTCCCTGTTCTCTTCTCGCCCTGCATTGCTCCTGAGCCCTTCTATCAGGTGGTTGTAGCGGGGTCTTCAGCCGGGGCTGTAGCGGTGCTGCTGCATTGCGATCGGGTCCGGGCCACGCTGGAGGCCGTCTCTCCCTCCATGAGTGTGCGCTGCCTCGCTGACGCATCCATGTTCCTCGACGTGTAAGACCCCTGTTGACTTGGTTTGACTTCAGTTGACTCGCATTGACTTGTGTGACACCCCTGCTGACGCGCGTTGACTGATTTTGACTTCAGTTGACTGGGGTTTTAACTGCCATACCCGATTGCCTGCTGCCCAGGCTGTTGTTGACCAAAGGCCTGCTGCCTGTGCCTATTTGCTGCTAGCTTGTTCCTGTGTGCTGCTTGCTTCTCCTGCCTAAATTGCTTCGTGATACTCCGTGTGACCACGACTGCTGGTTTCTCCCTGTGCACCTCTCCCTGTGCACCTCTCCCTGTGCATCTCTCTCTGTGAATCTCTCTCTGTGCACCTCTCCCTGTGCATCTCCCTGTGTGCATCTCTCTCTGTGCATCTCCCCGGGTGTCCATCTCCCGTGTGTGCATCTCCCCGGGTGTGCAGGCCGGATGTCAACAACACCAGGAAGGTCGGAAACTTCTTTGCTGAAGTCAAGGACACGCATGTAAGAGATGCATTCACATGCTTGTAAGAGATGCATTCACATGCTTGTAAGAGATGCATTCGCATGCATGTAAGGGATGCATTCACATGCTTGTAAGAGATGCATTCGCATGCATGTAAGGGATGCATTCACATGCTTGTAAGAGATGCATTCGCATGCATGTAAGGGATGCATTCACATGCATGTAAGGGATGCATTCACATGCATGTAAGAGATGCATTTACGTGTATGTAAGGGATGCATTGACATGCATGTAAGGGATCATTCACATGCATGTAAGGGATGCATTGACATGCTTGTAAGGGATGCAGTCACATGCATGTGAGCGGGGCATTCACATGCATGTAAGGGATGCATCCATACGCATGTAAGGAATGCATCCCCATGCATGTGTGTGCGCCAGTGATGCACCCACGTGCATGCGAGCGATGCTGCCCACCCACCTGTATTCCCGCTACAACCCCGGCAAACCCCGCCGCAGGAACCATTCCCCGTTTCTTCGCCCCTTCCCCCGCCTCACTCCCCTCTCTCCCCTCTCGCCTCACTCCCCTCTCTCCTCCCTCGCCTCTCTCCCTCTCTCCTCTCTCCCCTCTCTCCTCTCTCGCCTCTCTCCCCTCTCTCCTCTCTCCCCTCTCTCCTCTCTCTCCCATCTCTCCTCTCTCTCCCCTCTCTCCTCTCTCTCCTCTCTCTCCCCTCTCTCCTCTCTCTCCCCTCTCGCCTCTCTCCCCGCGCTCCCCTCTCTCCCCTTCCGCCTCTCTCTCCTCTCTCGCCTCTCCCCTATCTCCCCTCTCTCCTCTCTCGCATCTCTCCTCTCTCTCCCATCTCTCCTCTCTCTCCCCTCTCTCCTCTCTCTCCCCTCTCTCCTCTCTCTCCTCTCTCCCATCTCTCCTCACTCTCCCCTCTCTCCTCTCTCCCCTCTCTCTCCTCTCTCCCCTCTTCCTCTCTCTCCCCTCTCGCCACTCTCTCCTCTCTCCTCTCTCCCCGCACTCCCCTCTCCCCTTTCGCCTCTCTCCTCTCTCCCCTCTCCCCTCTCTCCCCTCTCTCCTCTCTCGCCTCTCTCCTCTCTCTCCCATCTCTCCTCTCTCTCCCCTCTCTCCTCTCTCTCCTCTCTCTCCTCTCTCTCCTCTCTCTCCTCTCCCTCATCTCTCTCCTCTCTCTCCCCTTTCGCCTCTCTCCCCGCGCTCGCCTCTCTCCTCTCTCCCCGCGCTTGCCTCGCTCCTCTCTTGCCGCGCTCCCCGCGCCTGTCACAGAAAGAGTCTGACGGCCAATCTCCCTCCAGCTGGCCATGTGGGCCCTGCTCACTTTGCTTCCGTCTCCCCCTTCTCTCCTCCCCTTTCTCGCATCTCCTTCACAGAATCTGACCGCCAGTCTCCCTGTAGCATGTCTCGAGGCCCGAGAGCCAGAGACGCACCATGAGGTGCGGTGGTGGACTCTTCCATTATTTTGAGACATGTGGTTGCCCATGTCATGTGCCTTAGCCCATAAGTCATGTGCCTTTGCCCATAAGTCATGTGCCTTTGCCCATAAGTCATGTGCCTTTGCCCATAAGTCATGTGCCTTTGCCCATAAGTCATGTGCCTTTGCCCATAAGTCATGTGTTTTTGGCCATGAGTCATGCGCCAGCCATCGCCCAAGTCTCACATGTCATGGCATTCGTCTTTCTCCAGTCACATGGGTGCCATACACCACCATACTTGTATATTCCATCATGGTCTTTATCCACACTCACTGATATATGATTGTTTCTTCCGCCCTCTCCCTTGCAACCCTTACTCTTCACCGCTCTTTACCTCCGCTAACCCCTCTCCACCCTCCCTCTGCCTCCCTCTTCAACCAATTAGTGTTTCATGTCCAACCATTTACTGCAGTTCGTCTCTACACCTATTTTCGTTATCAACAGCAATTATGACAAAATTGCGGTAAGCTGGCAAATCGCTGTAGCTGTGCCAACGCTTGGTGCCGTTTTGTCTAGACATATTATGCCACCGTGAGTCCCGAGGTGGAGAGACAGGGCAAATCACTCACCCTCGGTTTGGGCAGTAATAGCCTATTGGATCGACTGGAAGTCACTCTGTGCCGTTTCGCTTGTGCGCTCCCTCGTGTGTCCTCCTCCCTCGTGTGCCCTTCTCCCTCGTGTGTCCTCCTCCCGCGTGTGCCCTCTTCCCTCGTGTGCCCTCTCCCCTGTCTCTCTTCCTGCAGATGAGAGCCATTGCGGCGCCACAGGTGTTGGATTCAGGCAGTACAAGACCCCCAGACTGCTTCGACCATCTGAAGAAGTGCACTGACGCCGAGAACCGAGTGATTGAGGGTGAGTGACTCGTGGAAATGAGTGTGCGCATGGGAGTGAGTGAGAGTGTGTGAATGGGAGTGAGTGTGTGAATGGGAGTGAGTGAGAGAGTGTGGATGGGGGTGAGTATGAATGGAGGTGAGTGAGAGTGTGCGGATGGGAGTGAGTGTGAATGGAAGGGAGTGTGACTGAGAGTGCATAGCGTTAACAACCGGGTTGTCCCTCAATTCGTGTACTCCATAAATTCATCCCCACATCAATCATTGCCTCCCGCAGCAATCATTGCCTCCCGCAGCAATCATTTCCTCCCGCAGCAATCATTGCCTCCCACATCAATCATTGCCTTCCACCCCCTCCCCTACACCCCTCACAACACGCCTATCCGCTGCCTCTCCCCGCTCGTTTTCAGACTATCGCAAGGCTGTGGTCTCTGCTGTGGCTCCTCTCCTCCACTCCACCAACCCTCCACCTCCCTCTCCTCTCTCCTCCTCCTCCTCCTCCTCCTCCTCCTCCTCCTCCTCCTCCTCCTCCTCCTCCTCCTCCTCCTCCTCCTCTTCCTCCTCCTCCTCCTCCTCCTCCTCCTCCTCCTCCTCTCCTCCTCCTCCTCCTCCTCCTCCTCCTCCTCCCCGCCTGTCAACGCCGTCTTCCTCTTCTCCTGCTTCCAGCACGGCTCCATCCACTCAGACATGCCTTGGAAGATCCGCACAGCAAACGGGGTGGTGCGTGTTTTTTTATCCTTTCATTATCTCTTAGCCCGGGCAGCGTTTTCTGACCGTGCAGACTTTCCGTCAAAGCTGCGCACTGTAACGGGGTGGTGCGTGTTCCTTTGAGCACCGTGCATGCTAGCCTTCACCAAGTCGTGTTCAATGGTCGCAAGTGTGCCACGTGTGTGAATGTTTACGTTTGCGTGGGTGGGTTTCCCATCATCACTTTTCTTGTCTTGCCTGTTCAACCCCTCCAATAATTCAGCCCATGTTTGAAGCTGTGAGCCAGTGGATGCATCCCGACAACGGTGACAAGATTCATCTTATTGAACGGAGCCGTCCGTGCAATTCTTGCGGCATGAAGCTGTGAAAAATTACGGCAAGGATAATATTCTTTGTGGTGTACCCCGGCCCGTACTCTTGTCAGCTTCAATCCCAGACCAGAGAATCTTCGCGAGGAGAATGATTGGAATATTCGTCGGCTCCCTAGCATCCATTCGCCGAAGCCACCCATAATTTTGTTGCAACAACTCCTACCATTTTCATTATAGTTTTGTTTTGTGGCATGAAACTGCATGCATCAACATGTTGCTTAGCCTCTGTAAAACTATTGCATAAGCGTGAGCATTGGTGGTGGCCTAATGTTTGTTGTGTTTTATAATTGCCTAATGTACTTTCCCCTACTGCGGTGGGTCAGTGTACCTATGTCGGGCTAGCTAGCTGTGTGCCATAATAGACGCACCCGTGTGCAGCTGACCACCGCGCGCAACAACTAGGGGGGTGAAGTGGAAGGGATTGGGGCAACGGGGTGGGAGGTGGGGGAGGGGGAGGGAGCATATGCGCGACACCTGATACGCTATTCCACCTGATACGGCATTTACACCTGAACTTCCTGAACCGTTATCACCACACGACAGGACGGCTCCTCCCTCTGGTCCTGGCTGCTGCGACCTCGCCACCGACCCACCCCGCGAGTCATGGATTTTCTTCCATTGCTGGTCGAGGTTCGCGAGACATCCACGTCGCACTCTTCAAACCCCGCACCGCAGCGTGGTTGCTTCCCGCGAATCCCGTCCCGATCTGAGTTTTGCAACTACAGTACAGCTCGGTAGGTACAATACAGCATAAGTATGGGGCTTGTTTTTAACCATACAGAATGTCCATCCACCGCCGAATCAGGTCGGCTTGAGGTCAGTACAAGACAGGAAAGGACACCACCTGTCAGCATCATGACGTCGTCATGTTGCTCTGTCGGGTCGGGTCTCCCCGCCACCGACGCGGTCAAACCCAGGGTTTGACGGTCAAAGCATATGCACCGTCAACCCTTCCCCCGTTTCACGAACCCCCTACTCGCGTTTTGAGCCCTATTTTCGCACCGCTCACGTGTCATGCATGTGCTGTAGTTGGATCTCCCCACCTGAGAGGATTCATATTCAGATTCACGCACCAACAAATGGCGAAACTAGTACCGAAGGTCGCCACGCCACCAGCCCCACCAACGCCACGTGCCCGCGCGCGCAACCGCGCCCGCGGCGCGCTCAACCATGGCTTTCCGCCGCCCCTCGGGCTCTTCAAGCCCCAGACGCGCCTGAGAGGAAGGAGGATTCACTCGTGCTGAGCTTCTCAAGAGCCCACATGCCCTCCGCTCGCTGCCTCTCCGCTCTCCGCACTTGCGGCGCCTCACGATCCCCGATTCTCCGCGCAATGGATCTGCGCCCTCCACTTTATATCTGCCTTGCCCGCCGCCATTTCCCATCCGATCGTTCAACGATTCAATATAAGCTTTTCTGCCGGCAAGCAATCGCCCATTCGCAACGCTTTGAGTTCCCCGCTTCAACTCGAGCCCCCGTGACGGCCGCTGCTCCTTCTAAGGACCCGAAACCCTAGCACCGCCGCCAAGCATGCCTCCTCGTCGCATTCCTCTAGTAGTAGCGCTGAACGCTGCTACGGCTAAGTCGAATCTGGTGCTGCTGCTGATACTCGCCGCAGCAGTCGCGGGCGTGCACGGCTTCAGAGGGAGAGGCGCGGAGTCCCGCAAGCTACTGCTTTCCGCCACGGGCGGGAGCGCGCGCACTGCCAGTGCACCCGCGGAAGGGGAAGCAATCACAGTGACGGCGGATCCGACCCCCCTCGATGCCTCCGCGGAGGCGGACGCATTTATGACGCATTCCCCCCAGGATTTCTCCGCGGAGGCGGTGCACGCGGGGGCGGTGGCAGGGGGGAATGCTCCGGCGCTGCAGCTGATAATTGCGGAGGAAGGGCGCGCGGCGGGCGCAGTGTGCTTGGACGGGTCGGCCCCTGGGTTCTACTATCGGAAGGGCTATGGCTCAGGCAGCCGCAACTGGGTGCTCTTCTTCGAGGTGTGTGACTGTAACGAATGGGCCTGCTGGGATGTCCCCTCTTCCTTCCTTGTTGTTGCACTCAGCTCCTTCGCCTCCCTTCCCCTGCTCTGCACACACCCCCCCGCCCCCATCCAATTCACGGCGGCGGATGGTGCGCGTCCCCCCACCCCAGGGGTGTCGCCACCGCGCCACCAGGCTCCCAGGGTCCTTGGACCTCCTTGGGTCCTCAGACCTCCTGGATTCACCTCATCCGCTGCCTCCTCCCTTCCCCCTACCCTCCCCTGCCCCTTCTCCCCTTCCTTTTCCCCTACCCCTTCCCCTTCAACTTTCCTTCCCCTTCCCCTTCCCCTTCCCCTACCCCTTCCCCTTCCCCTTCCCCAACGCTACCCCTGTCCCTGCCCCTACCCCCACCCCTTCCCCTTCCCCTTCCCCATCCCCTTCTCCCCCCTTCCCCCCCCCACCCACTTCCCAAACGTGGCAGGGCGGCGCATGGTGCGCGTCCCCCCACGGGTGCCACCACCGCTCCACCACGAACCTGGGGTCGTCGAAGCACCTGCTGCCAGCACGGGAGATGGAGAGCGAGCAGGCGGGCATGCGGGGCATGCTCAGCCCCGACCCGAGCATCAACCCGGGTGAGGACATGTGCTCCTGGGCATCAACTTTACCTCCTGCTCCCACCAGACTTGTACTATTGGAGTGCGGCATTCTTCCCCTACTGCGATGGACCATCATTCTCAAGCCACCCTCTCCCCACGCCCTCCTTCTCGCCCCGCTCCCTCCCGTTCACCTGCCGCCACATCAGACTTCCACAACTGGAACGCTGTCTTCCTCCCTTACTGCGATGGCGGCTCGTTCTCGGGCGACCTGGAGGAGCCCATTCACTTCAATGTGAGCCGCTCTTGCCTGGCCTTGCCTTTCATTGACCTGCCCTGCCCTGCACTGCACTGCCCTGACTTGATGTGACTTGACTCGACTCGACTTTACTTGACTGCACCGTCCGTTTCGAAGCGCTCAGTTGGCCTCCACTCATTGGTCAATGCTCCTTGTACCCTTCGTGTCTTGACCCCTCTCCCGTTGCCCTCATCTCACTTCCTCTTACCCCCCTCGTCTCATCTCCCTGCCTCTGCCCTCCACCCCCAGGGCGTGCCGCTGTACCTGCGCGGAAGGAGAGTGGCTGACGTGCTGCTGAAGCACCTCATGGATAGGCTGGGCCTGCATACGGCCAACAGGGTGAGAGCTGGGTGACGGGGAAAGGGGGGAAGGCGGACATATAATATTTTTTCTGAGACGTCTCAAAACAAATCTTCTATCTTTCGGATAGGCTGGGCTGGGCTTCTCAAGCACCTTCTGGACAGGCTGGGCCTCCACACTTCCAACAGGGTGTGAGAGAGGAGGCTGAGGGGTGAGAGATAGGAGCGAGAAGGGTGAGGGCATATGGGGGAAGGAAATGGGAGAGGAAAAGGGAGAGGAAAAGGGAGAGGAAAAGGGAGAGGAAAAGGGAGAGGAAGAGGGAGAGGAAGAGGGAGAGGAAGAGGGAGAGGAAAGGGAGAGGAAAAGGGAGAGGAAAAGGGAGAAGAAACAACGAGGGGGTGAGGAGAAGGAGGTTGGTGGTGGTTATGCATGAAACACCTGGGGGTTAGATTCCGAGACACGCTCTCAATGCCATCTCTCCTCTCAAGCGGTCCGTTTATTCCTTGGAATCCGAGGTACAGTCTGGGCACGCTCTCAATGCCATCTCTCCTCTCTCTCTCTCCCCTGTCTTTTCTCTCTACCCTTGTCTTGTGCCCTGCTCTTCCTACACTGCAGGTGCTTGTAGCGGGGACGTCAGCAGGGGCTGTAGCGGCGCTGCTGCACTGCGATCGAATCCGATCCACACTGGAGGCGGTCTCGCCCTCCATCAGTGTCCGCTGCCTCGCTGACTCCTCCATGTTCCTCGACGTGTAAGACCCCTCCTGAACCGTGTTGACTCGCATTGACTCGCCTTGACTTGAATTGACTCCTCAAAGCCGTCAGTCCTTCCATGCACGTCCGCTCGCTGATTCCTCCATATTCCTCCAAGTGTGAGTCTCTGGACTCGAAAGAGCCACCTGAAAGCATCCGTGGACTCAGGCTGATCTCTGCGTATTTATGTGTATTTACTGTGTGCGGTACCCTCTATCTATACGGTGCTGCTGTGTGCCTCAGGCCTGACTCCCACAACAAGAGGCAGATCCCAGATTTTTTTCGACACGTGTACTCCATGCATGTAAGCCGCACGCGTGCACTCCATGCATGTAAGCCGCGCGCATGCACTCCATGCATGTAAGCTGCACGCGTGCACTCCATGCATGTAAGCCGCACATGCTCGCTCGCTCTCCCCTTTTTCCACTAGACGACAACCATGCCTCAGTCTCAATCCTGCATGCCTCAATAGACGACCTCCAGAGAAACATGCTTCTCCACTTCCTCTTCCTCCGCCTCCACCTGACCTGCTCTCCTCCCCTTTCTCCTCGCTCCGTCTCCCCCTCCCCTGTACCAGAATCTGACTGCCAGTCTCCCCCGAGCGTGCCTCAAGGAGCGATCGCCAGAGAAGCATTATGAGGTGCGCTCATGCCCTGGGTCGGTAGGTGCGCTCAGGTCCTGGGTCGGTAGGTGGGGTTGTGGTTTGTGGTGGCATTTTCACCTCTTATTAACCCCCTTCACCCCTCCTCACCCCTCTTCAACCCTCCCCACCCCTACTCGCCCTTCTTCACCCCTCTTCACCCGTCTAGACCCTTCTTTTTCCTCCTCACCCCACTTCGCCCCTCTCTCCCCCCATTCAGTGCTTCATGCCAGAGCATCTGCTGCAGTTTATCTCCATTGGCCCCTTTCCTCCCTCCCACTTCTACCCCCTTCACCCCTCTTCACCCTTCGTCACCCCGCTTCATGCCTCTTTAACTCTCCTCACCCCTTTGCACCCCTTTCCCTCCTCATTCAGTGCTTCATGCCGGAGCATCTGCTGGATTTCATCGCCACGCCTCTCTTCCTCATCAACAGCAACTACGACAAAGTGGCGGTGAGTTACACAATGCATCTGCACCCTCTTATGTGGTTACCACTCTTCTGGATTTCCCCTTCACTTCTCCCCTCCCCTCCCCTCCCCTCCCCTCCCCTCCCCTCCCAATGCAGGTGAGAGCAATGGAAATACCAGAGAGGGGTGACGTGTGAGTCGACGCAGCAGTGACCTCAGCTGCAAGCGTACCTGTTGAATGTCCCGTCTGCTCCTCTCCTTGCAACCCCTACCACATGCAGCTGAGAGCCATCGAGTCCCCAGAGGTTCTGGACATGGGCGGCACGAAGCACACTGACTGCCTGGACCATCCGGAGAAGTGCTCCAAGACCAAGTTCAAACACCTGGATGGTGGGTCTAATGGGGGGGGGGGTGTGATGGAGTGTGGGTGTGACGGAGGGTGGGTGTGATGGAGGGTGGGTGTGATGGGACGGGGATTACACACGCCTTTCGGACTTACCCATCTTTCCATTCCGCCTCCTTGCCTCACCCCTTACCTTTCCCCTCCTTGCTCAACCTCTTGCCTCGCCCTCCTTCCCCCTCCTGGCCTTCCCCTTCCTTGCCTCACCTTTTTGCCTCCAGCCTATCGCAGGGCCGTGGCCACTGCTGTGGCCCCTCTCCACGCCGACTCATCACCTACCAACGCCGTCTTCCTCTTCTCCTGCTTCCAACACGGCTCCATCCACATCGACTTCCCGTGGAAGATCCGCACAGCCAAAGGCGTGGTGCGTACCATGTCGCTTCGTTAAGAAAATCTCCCCTTCCTAACCCCACATCACCCTTCAGCAATCTTCATTTGGCTAGTCTCTCTGCATGGTTGCATGCCATCAACTTCGTCCAATATGTGTGCATGACTGTGTGTGGGTGTGGGGTGTGCTCCTGTAATCATCGCTCCTCCGTTTGACCTTTTCTCTCCCTTTTCGCAGCCCATGCATGAAGCTGTTGGCCGCTGGATACACCCTGGCAGCCATGAGAAAGTCCATCTTATTGAAGGAAGCTATCCGTGTAATTCTTGCCACATGGAGCTGTGAAGTGCAATCGTGGGGATGCTCCCTAGCCTGTACTTCACCACATGCACTCAATCAGCATAGGGACTCAGCCACCGCCGACTTTTTCGGCTCACACAAGCCCTGAGCCTCTCACCAAGCTGACCAGCTGATCTGCTCCAACCGTTCTACATTTTTCAGCTCCGGGCTGGCATAGTCCACCTCTCACCGATTCTTTTGTTTGTAACTCCATGTATCAAATATGCTTGAATGGCTCATACCTAGCTTACCTAAGGAGCAATCATGAAAAAATATTATGCAGATGCGGTGGAATTCGGAAGAGCAGAATGTAGAACGGTAGACCCCAGTGCCTCGTGTCCTCGGCACTCCCAAACAGGAAGCGTTCAAAACACATCCGAAGAATTTGTCCTGGAGGAGCGTCAGGTGTTCCAAAGGGAGATTTTCATCTTGCCCGAAAGCCTCTTATTTGGCTTCCACGTTGGCAAAAAAGATCTTTCCCACTTCCCGCTCCCAGATTTGTGACACAGTACAGTGCTCACTGACAACTCAATCCTGCAGCGTTTGTGGTGTGTGGGACTGGTATTCCCTTGGTCTCCAAATTCGAGCCCAGTCCAGTATATTACGCGGAATTTCATCACCTCGGCTTTCTACTGCTGTTGCCGCCATGGCTTCGTTAGCTCTTCCTACCGCCTCCTCACAGTGTCTCTCGTGCTCCTCGTGGGCTCGGGGCAGCGTCAAAGCCAGCGGGCCATGCACGAGATTCTTGTCAGGGCGGCCGCTATACCCGTCTCTGGCCAGGAGATGCGAGAAGGCAGCTGCCAGGAAAAGCGTTAGACGCGTGGTAGCGGAGAAAGGCTCTACGAGCGACTGTAAGCTCTCACGTTAGCTTTCTAGAGTTAGTGGCTTTCTTTTGAGCCGAGATTCCTATGAAATCCTTTTTTTTTTCTTCCTTTTTTCCTCGACATTTGCGTGGCTACGGTGACAGTGGTCAGCACGGCAGTGAAAATAGGCAATGAAGGACTCGACGCAGCGACAAAGCTTGTTCCCGTAAGTCCTTGTGGAACGTTTTTAGAACGAGAATCGCTAAAATGCTGGCAACAGTACCGACTTTCACGAATTTCATCAATGTTCTCGGCAATCCTCACCATATCTCCTACACTATTGCATGCAGGCCACCATCCCTCGGCCAGTGGCGAAAGCGGGCGTCGGACTTCTCTCGCTCGCCATCCTCTTGTCGCTCGTACAGACCGTCTTCAACACGTTTGTCAGCCTCCTTGTAAGTGCATGTCGCTACCTCTTCCCGTCTTCCTCTTCCCGTATTTCGGGCTATCGCACGCTTGTTGACCCCGTTGCCTCTTCGTTATTATGGGTTAGTTTGTTTGGAGGAGACAGACGAGGGGGCAAAGGTCCAAGGGAGAGTAGAGAGAAAAATGGGGGTCTTGAAACGGCTCATGATTCTCTGTGTCAATTTGCATTGTCCTGTGCAGTTCCTTGGAGGACTAGGTTATTTAGGTTTCCAGTACCTGTCCAAGGATGGCAACAAGTCTTCCGGAAGTTCAAGCGATGACCCCCTTGATGAGGCTCGCCGCATTTTGGATAAGTACAAGTAAAGAGCGTTACATGAATAGCATATGCGTTGCGTGTATAAAAAACGGCATTGTGTTCTGTCAGGCAGGATAAGGAATATGCTTTTAGACTCTGAATATCACCTGCGCCATGCTTGTGTGACTCGTTTACAAAATCCCGGTTATCATGCAATATCGAAAGGAATGTTTATAAGAGTCTTCAAAGCACATCGATTTGGGACTTCAAATTCTGCGTAAGTCGATATTATTTTGTAGCGGGGATAAGCGTTGTGTTGACGGCAGCTGGGGGTGTTTCTAGAAGCCAACGTTCAGCGCCGTTTCTGCAGAAACCTAAAGATTCCCGCAGAATTGCATGCCTCGGTCGAAATGTTCTTGAGCTGGAACCACCTGGAGCCAGATTCCACACCCTCAGCAGTCCAGAAACCTCTGTTGCTGCTGCCACACAGCATCTTTTAGCGCCCGTGACACCATTTAGCCATCGCTCTCTGTACCACCGAGTCATCGTGCACTAAAGAGTCGCATCGCACACCGTGGTATCGTCGCGATTCGCGAATTGGCAGTTTCAGGATCCAGCCATGGATGCGCAGAAGGTGGCGGAGCTCAAGGCATTCGTGCAGCTCTGCCAGAAGACTCCCGCCGTTCTCGCGGACCCGAAGCTCGAATTCTTTCGTGACTATCTCGAAAGGTTGGTGATCTTCTTGATTATCTCGGAATCGCGGCTATTCCTAAGAGAAGCGCGAGCATATCACTTCAAATTAGCTCCAACGGGAAGTTGCGTCGAGTTAGGGAAGGCGAGGGAAGACCTAAGGCTTTAGCATAGGGGATGCGTGCCATGTTGGGGGTTAAGCTGAGGCGGGATTCATGCGGCTGAGGTTCTGCCGAATCCGACGGCGGTGATTCTTTTTGGAAAGAAGATGCGATGAGATCTACGGCGTTTGAAGGAACGGCCGGCCTGCACGAGGGTGCGATGATCCGTGAAGCCGGTTTTGCTGTTTTCACGGACGGCAGGCTTTATGAACGCTGCATCGTCGGTAACTGTTATGCGTGTATTGCTGTGTCTCCTCTCACCGTGAAGCGTTTCTTTCCTGTCTCCGTCTGTCACCCGTCCCGTCCCCGCTTCTTTCCCCTTCCTGTCTCACCACCTCTTCCCCCTGGCAGTCTGAATGCGGACGTACCAGCGGAGGCCTATGGGCTGAAGGCGGGCGCCGCAGCCAAGGTAAGCGAGTCCAGAGAAGAAACAGGGAAGGGAAGCGAACATACGAGCGGTTGAGAGTATATAAGAGTTTGTACGAGTGCCTGAAAGTACGCTACAACCTGCAAGAGCTTCATGCGAGAGCTTGTTGCCTGAAGCACGTTTTCCTATGAACATTCCATGCCATTCCGTGCACGGCAGGAGGAGGAGAAGGCCGAGCCGAGCAAGATGGAGTCAGAAGCCGCAAAGCCAGTGGTGGAAGAGGCGGAAGAGGAGGAGGAGGAGGAGCCGGAGATTGTGGAGTCGGACGTAGAGATCGATGAGGAGGGCGTGGTGGAGGGGGACGACGACCCCCCGCAGAAGATGGGCGACGCCAGCAAGGACGTGGGCGACGAGGAGCGGGACGCTGCTCAGGCCGCCAAGGGCAAAGCCATGGAGGCTCTCGCTGAAGGTGGGTGCGAGTTGGGTGTGGGGGGTGAGAGGTGGGTGTGTTAAGTGGGTGTGTTCAGTTGAGTGTGCTTACGGTGAAGGCGCTTGGAGTGGGAGTGCGTGCTGCCACCACGAGTGTGCTTGCATTGTATGTTGAGCATGCTGATTCTCACCGTGCACGCATGCCTCTCTCCCAAGCCCTATTTTCCGTACTGTTTTCTCTTCTCCCGTTTCCCTGCCCTGCCCTCCTTCCCCTCCGTCCCATGCTTCCTCTGTTGGCCAGACAATCTCGAGGCAGCAGTGGCGCATCTCACAGAGGCCATTCTCAACAACCCCACGTCCGCCTTGCTCTATGGCAACAGAGGTGAGCCTTGCTCTATGGCAACAGAGGTGAGCTGATACAAAAAGGCAAAAGTTAGCGATAGGCGTTTTCTAGAGCTGTTTTCCTGTTTCCTATCCTCGTGGTTTCTTCTCCTCCCGTGCAGGCCACACAACAGGAGAACTCGACTTATCCTCCGATGATCTCGCAGGTGGTTGGATTGGTGTTAAGGATGGCGAAAGAGAAGGTCAATATACACCGGCTGGAGGTCAAACACTTGGTCCAAACCTGCAACTGGTGTATCTTGGCCTTCTTGTTCGCCATATGCGACCCCAATCCAGCCACCTCCAGTAGCATCGGAGGATCAGTCAAATCCTCCTGCTCACTGTGAGCGCATGGAAAAGGCCGCATAACCTGTTGCTTTTGAGTCGACTCAAAAGCTGCACAAACTGTTGTTTCCGATCTCTAGCTGCACATAGAGTTCAGAGAGCACACACGAACATGCAGCCCGATTCCCCTTGTCTTCCCTATCCTCCTCCTCGCCTGGTCTCTAAACACTGTGTCCAGCTGCAGTGTTCCTGTGAACGAAGACGCGCCCTAAATCCCAAGTGTGATTTTTGAATCGACTAAAAAATCACCTAATCACTGTGTGCAGCTACAGTGTTCCTGTGAACGAAGAAGCCCCCTAAAGCCCAAGCGTTCTCAATTCCTCCTGCCTGTTTTTGTGGCGCCTCAAAAGTAGATTCTTCAAACGTCATGTGCAGCTGGGGTGCTCGTGCGCATGAAGAAGCCTCTTGACCTGCTGCTCCCGATTCCCTGGTCTTCCCTTACCTCCCCCTCGCCTGTGCGCTGAGCGCTGTGTGCAGCTGGAGTGTTTGTGCGCATGAAGAAGCCCAACGCTGCCATCCGGGACTGCGATGAGGCGCTCAAGGTGTGTGACGGCCCGTAGGGCGGTGGGTGGTACATTATCGCCGTCCTCGTTCTGTTTCGTTTCTTCTCAAACGCGGGGAGCCCAGAGCTTGTCGAGTAGAGGCAGATCGAAAATGCATTTGCCCATTTTTCCCATTGCTCAAACACGGGGCTCTTCCGTTCTTCCTTTCGCCCTTCCATTGACATCCTTCTGATTTGTGTCCTTCCCGAAACCCTTCGTCTGTAGGTTTTTTGGCAGGAGGTTTTTTTTGACTTCTAAAGAATGATCTCAAATGCATTTGTCCATTGCTCTTCTGTTCTTCCTTCCGCCCTTCGATTTGACATCCTCCTGACCTCTGTCCTTCCCTAAACCCTCCCAGCTCAACCTGACTCTGCTTGTGCCCAAAGGTGTTACTCCGCCACTGGGAGGCGGCACCAGCCGACCTGTGCCTGGCGTGTCCCGCCTGGACTACGACGAGGAGGTGAACTCGTTCCTCAAGCTCGTGGAGCCCGGAGCGCACCGCCTGGAGGAGCAGTGTTGATCCAGACTCTTGAATCAGCTCAAAATGCCCCCTCCCCTCCTCTCCCACCACTCCCCTTGCTGCTTTCCCCACCACTTCCAGCTCAACCCCGACTCGGCTCGCGCCTACAAGTCCCGGGGTGAGGCCAAGGCACTCCTGGGCCAGTGGGAGGCGGCAGCAGCTGACCTACGTCTCGCCTCCCGCCTGGACTACGACGAGGAGGTCAATTCGTTCCTCAAGCTCGTGGAGCCGAGGGCGCACCGCCTGGAGGAGCACCGACGCAAGTACGACCGCCTGCGCAAGGAGCGCGAGGAGAGAGTGGCGGTGAAGGAGAGGCAGAGGAGGAGGAAGGCGGCACAGGCGGCGTATGAGGAGGAGAAGAGGGGGGAGGAGGAGAGGCAGAAGGCGGGTAGAGGGGCCGGTAGTTTCCCAGGAGGTTTTCCAGGGGGGATGGGTGGGATGCCGGGGGGGTTCCCAGGGGGGATGCCGGCGGGAATGGGGGGGATGGGGGGCATGCCGGCAGGGATGGGGGGGATGGGGGGCATGCCGGCAGGGATGGGAGGGATGGGGGGAATGGGGGGAATGGGAGGGATGCCAGGAGGTATGGGCGGCGGAGCGGGCGGCATGCCAGACATGAGTCAGATGCTCAATGTGAGTCAGATGCTCGATGTGAGTCAGATGCTCGATGTGAGTCAGATGCTCGATGTGAGTCAGACCAGCCGGCTATTTTGGACTATATGTGCACTGTTGAATCTGGTCATTCACATCTTGCCGATTTCATGATCCTCTTTCTTTCCTCCTTCTTTCGACAGCTCTGACTTCTGTTGACTTTTGCTCAACTGTTGACTTCTGTTGATTTGGGTCGTGTGTGCGCAGGACCCTGAGCTGCTGATGGCTCTTCAGAACCCCGCAGTCATGGCCGCCATGCAGGATGGTGCGTGGGGGGGGAGAGGGGGGGTGATGATGGTGATGATGGGTGATGATGGGTGGTGATGATGGGTGATGATGGTAATGATGGTGATGATGGTGATGTTGGGTGGGTCATTCATGGGCATTCATGGCAGCCATGCAGGATGGTGCATGCGGGGGAGGAATGATGAGTGGTGATGATGGGCGGTGATGATGGGCGGTGATGATGGGCGGTGATGATGGGCGGTGATGATGGACGGTGATGATGGGTGGTGATGATGGGTGGTGATGATGGGTGGTGATGATGGGTGGCGATGATGGGAGGTGATGATGGGTGGTGATGATGGGTGGTGATGATGGGTGGTGATGATGGGTGGTGATGATGGGCATCCGCATGACTGGCCCATGGGCATGTCCGCATGAAGTTGCTCGTTTGAGCCAGAAATGTGCTCGTTCCCCACATCCTCCTTCCGCCTCCCGCTTCCCCTCGCTCCGTCCCGCCTGCCCCACCCCCCCGTGATGAAGAACCCAGAGAATTTGCTCAAGTACCAGAACGACCCCACAGTGGGCCCGGCGCTCATGAAGCTCACCTGTCCTCCCCTCTCCCTCCCCCATACTCCCTCACCCTTCCCGGCCCTCCCCTTTCCTCCGCCCACCCCTCAGTGACGAAGAACCGGCGAATCTGTTCAATTCCGGTACGACCCTACAGTGGGCCGTGCTTATGCAACTCGCCCGCCCTCCCCATTCCCCCTCCCTTCATTTCCCTCCCTTCCCACCCACCCTCCAGTGATGAAGTACCAGGCCGACCCCACTGTGTGCCCAGTGCTTATGAAGCTCACCTGTCCTCCCCTCTCCCTCTCCTACCTCCCCACCCTCTCTGCTCCCCCTTCGCTGCATCCCCAAACTACCCTCATCCCCCCAGTGATGAAGAACCCAGCGAATCTCCTCAAGTACCAGAACGACCCCACGGTGGGCCCAGTGCTGATGAAGCTCATGAGCAAGTTCGGCGGGGCTGCTGGCGGCGCTGGCGGCATGTAACGTTGCGCGCCCCAAGTTGGGCGAAGGTGCTGGGGGGGCGTAGCTGGTGCTGGCATGTAGGCTGGAGTGCTGCAGGATGCTGCTGCTGCTTGTTGCTGCCACTGCTGCTGCTTGTTGCTGCCACTGCTGCTGCTTTCTTATTTCCACCACCTTGGCATGCAGATTGTAGTTACAGGGTCACTGTAGCAGGGTTCTTAAGGATCTGCTTTTTTAGGAGGGGTGGGGGCTGGGGGGGTGGAGGGGGGGGGGGGGGGTATGGTACTCACTGTACATGTGAGCCTGGGGGAGAAGCAAAAGTACACCGAACTATGTGGGTGTGTTGTGTAATAACCCCAGGAATAGAAACGAGTTTCGACAAGCTACAGTACCGTACATGTAGCATTCTGATCTGGCTGTACTGGACGGTCCTACCAGCAGTGCCTGTCAATAGGGCCAATCACATGCCCTACAGATCGACAAAGCCAATACCGGTAATGCCTAGGAGATGTAACATAGTACTAAGTCTCAGAGTAGCAAACTGACTAGACTGAGAGATACACGGTTGTTTTGTGCTAAGGGGTTGTACTCTCTAAGATTACGCACCTATCTAGCCTATCAAACATGGTTGATATATCCCCTAGGCTAGATGAGGGGCAGTGCCCGGGAAGGGGCACACAGCTCAAGGAAGCACTACTAGCCCAACCTCTGAGGCAAGGGTCCGACGACAGTCAGCAAGAGTACAAACTAAACGAGAGTACCCCAGGGCGGCACTACTAGTCCAGCCACTAGAACATGAGTCACAAGGACAATCAAGATACCGTAATAGAAGAGGAAATTGTGAAAGCTTGCTTAGGTCCTCTTGTAAAGGCAGCGTGCTTCATTTCATCTGGGAAACATACATGGCTCTCGTCCAACAAAGAAATTGTGAAAGCTTGCTTGGGTCACCTTGGCAAAGGCAGCGTGCTTCATTTCATATGGGCTACAGTACATGGTTCTCGTCCAATAGACTACACCGTCCAATAGGGTGGGTGGGTGGGGAAAACGAAACTGGAACTAGAAATGAAGAACGTGGGTGAGGTCGAATGGCCTCACGTCCCTCTTTTGTAGGCAAAAGAGGGTGAGTAGCGCTTCGACGCTGACCTTGCTGCGTTGGCCCTCGCTACACTTTCACAATACACATTTTTTAGAAAGTGTTACACGCTTTCAAAAAATTACATATTGTGAAAGCTTGCTTGGGTCACCTTGGCAAAGGCAGCGTGCTTCATTTCATATGGGTCTTCTGAGGCATGTGAAGCAGGGGCTGGCGGTGTCGCTCGATGGAGAGCTGGTGATGTCTGGGCGATGGAGCGGCGGACGCGTCTTGGATGCGTGTGGATGCCGCAAGGAGCTGGTCCTGCGCAATGGTGACGTAGAGATCTTTGGCCGTATCGCTGCGCCAGCGACCGAGTCGCTTGAAGAGCCGGTCAGGGATCCCCAAGTTAGCTGCCGCAGTTGCGGCGCCCTTGCGGAAGGAGTGAGTGCCGAGGTGTCTGTTGTCAAGCCCAGCCTTGGCGAAGGCTTCGAGGCACCAGTTGCGGATGGTTGTGTATGACGGAGCGCTGTCGTGAGGGGTTGCCCTGCCGCTGGTGCCAAAGACACGGATCAGTGGTCCATGCGGGGTGGTGGGGTGTCCCGCGAGTTGCAGAAACCGTTGGGTGCAACGGACTGGGCAGTAAGGCCCAGTTGTGGGAGCAGCTGGGATCCATGAGCCCTTGCCGTCTTGATCCGTCTTGGAGTGCGGGATTAGGATCCACATAGACTCCTCGTCGAAGTGGATGTCGTTCCACTGGATGGAGACGAGGTCGGAGTAGCGGAGGAATGCCGCGAACATGAGGAGTGGGATCAGTCCTTTCTGATATTCTGCCGGGCTGCTCGACTCAAGGAAGGGGTGTGCCATGGCGTGCACCTGGTGGAGCGACAAGGGTTTCTTCGTCCTGGTGGTGCACGGGCCGTGGCGTTTGGAGAATTCACGAACTTGTGAAGTGAAAGGCCCGCTAGTGGGAGAGGGTTCTCCGGTCATCCGATGTGCAAATGCGACGGCGGAGCACGTAAGGGATATGGCGGATACTGTGGCCTGATTGTTGAGGGCATAGACAAGGTAGAGCGCTAGAGTAGTGTCTGTGGCAGGCAGGTAGCTCAGCTTGACCTTCGTGCAAAAGGAGCGGAACTTGAGCCAATACGGCTCGTAGGTCCTTATAGTGGATGGCGCGCGGACATGACTGATTACCCGAAGTAGCTGTGTCTGTAGTTTTGATAATAAGCCTGAAATACAGAGAGCCCAGGCACGGTAGGGTTATATTTTATATGTCACATGCAACGCAATGATCGGGCTATTGGGAAAACCGAGACCAGCAAAGGCGAGTGAGTGTGTGCCTGGGGATAGGCATTGGCTGCCTTGAGTGAGGGGAATATGTGCCTTTACTTCTCGTGCCCAGGTTCGTGGTGCTGGCTGCAGTAGGGGCCACCAAGAGGCTCCTGGCCACTCGGGAATGACCAACGTCAACTCGGCGTGGGTGCGTTGGGCGTGGCGCAGAGTAGCCGGGATGAGGTGGGGGGGGGGAAACGCGAAGCCGCGTTCATCATGCCAGCTGAACGAGAAGGCGTCAACTGCTGTGGCCTTGGGGTGAGGAATCTTGGAACGTTGAGCGTTGAGCGCCCCAGTTGAGCGTTGTGAACATTCGCGAATAGGTCGACAGAGTGAGGCCCCAGGCGGCGGTCGAGGAGTCGGAACCATGGGGATTTGAGTGAGTAATCATCTCGGTCCTGGACTTTGGAGAGTTCGTCGGCGTGCGCGTTCAGCTCCCGGGGAATCCATTCGATGGCAAGGCGTGTCCGGTTTTTTAAGCAAAGGTCGATGATCGCCTGGCAAAGTAGTGTGAGTGCAGGGATGCTGGAGCCGCCTTTGCGCAGTATGAATACAACCCCCTGGTTGTCCACACGAACTAACACGTGCCGTTTGGAGATGTGGGTGTCAAAGGTTCTTAGTGCCCACAGTACACCTTCGAGTTCCCTTCGGGTGCTGGAAGTGTGTAGGAGGTCTTCTGGCATGCGGGAGCTTGCTTCTATTGGGATCCCAGGGAGCGGCGTGAGGATGGCGCCCCAACTGTGGGCGCTTGCATCCACGTGGATGACGGCGTCGAACTGGTGACTGAGATGAAATGGGGCGCCGTTAAATTTGTCGAATTGCGCCAGCCAGAAACATAGCTCTTCCACCGCTGCCGGGTGCAGGAGGACCTTGGAGTGCCAGGACGTTGCGTCGGCAATAAGTCGCAGGAGTTCATGGCTGAATGCTCGTGCCGTCGCGCCCAGTGCTAGGGCCATAGAGGCGAGCATGCCCGTAACTCTTGCGAGGGATCGAACCGAAGCTGACTCGAGGGGTGAAGGTGCGATTTTTTGCCGTTTATGACAAAGCCAGCTGCGTTAAGGTCCTGGAGGACTGTCGTACGAGTCGAGCACGCTTGCTGGTGGGAATCGCAGAGAAATAATAGGTCGTCAACATACGGGACCACTCGAACGCCGCTTGCCCGCCATCGCTTGGCAAGTTGTTTAATTAGTTGGGTGAAAACGAATGGAGCTGTTGCAAGGCCGAACGGCAGTGACCGAAAGGAGTAGTAGATGCCTTCGAACTGGAAGCCCAAAAACTGCCAACACGTAGGGTGAATCTCGACATGATGGTATCCAGATTTCAGGTCGATGGAAAACATCCAGTCATCTCGGCGGATGAGCTCGGCTACACGATTCAGACCCTCGTACTTGAACTTGGGGGCTTCAAGGTGGGTGTTCACTTTCCGCAGGTCAAGGATGAGGCGGCATTTGTCGCGTTGCTTCACGACGTTCAGTGGGCTGACACATGTTAGTGTGTCTCTCTTCTCGATCACTGCAGCAGCGCCGGTCACTACAAGATCGCGAATTGTGACGCGAGTAAAGTCGAGGTGCGTGCAGACTCCGGCATGGTTGTTGTCCTCGAAGGGTGTGGGGGCTGTATTCTTCCAGGGCAGCCAATACCCTTTAGCGATGACGGAGAGGATAAAGCTACTGTCACACCAGGAGCACCACCAGTGCAAGGCATGCCGCAGTCGACTGCGCATGATGGTCACGTCCCTGTCTGTAGTTGCGAGCTCGTAGGGATCGCATTCCTCTCGTGGCCACCCACTTGGGATCACTGCATTATACGAGGTTATAAACATGGGTTCATAGATGGGAGTAAGATACTGTGCTCGTGAGCAGGTGCACGATGCGGGGCAAGTGTAGACGGGGCATGACATGCTCGGACCGCACGGCCACTGCCGTGTTAGGTGCTTGCAAGGTGCAAGGGGTACTCGTCTCTCTATCCGCCTTCTCTTTCTCTGTCGCTCTCTCTCTCTCTCTCTCTCTCTCTCTCTCTCTCTCTCTCTCTCTCTCTCTCTCTCTCTCTCTCTCTCTCTCTCTATCTCTTTCCCTCTCTCTCTCTCTCTCTCTCTCTCCTCCCTCTTTCTCTCTCTCTCTCTCCCCCTCTCTCTCTCACTCTCTCCCTCTTTCTCTCTCTCTCTCTCTCTCACTCTCTCTCTCTCTCTCTCTCTCTCTCCCTCTCTCTCTCTCTCTCTCTCTCTCTCTCTCTCTCTCTCCCTCTCTCTCTCTCTCTTTCTATCTCTTGCTTGGTATTTCTCTCTCTCTCCATCTCTTGATCTCCCTCTTTCCCTCTTTCCTTTGCGTGCGAAGACATCACGTGCTGTGTTCGTACGTGAACATTTTTTAAGCGCGTTGGTGCTCGCTGGTGGTTAGCTTACATTTCTTCCTCCTCCTTCTTTTGCTCTCCTTGTTTGGGCCACTCTTTGTGTTAGCTTTGAGCTCCTAGACTCTGTCCTTGGCTCTTAAATAGTGCATCTCCGAGTGCGTGCGTGCGCACCATTTTGTTGGGTGCCGAGCGTGCCTCCATGGTTAGCTCTCGGGGCGTGTTGCGTGGTCGGCAAAGAAAAAAGTAAGGGGTCGGAGGCCATGCTCAAGGCTGACCAGCCATGTTGACTGGTTTTTTGTGTGGAAAAAAATGGATGGCCGTGACACGGTCGAGCCTTTAATTCAATCATAGGAATTATTACAAGCCTAGGCCTAACAGCCTTTGCTGTCCCCAAGGGCCACCCTAGTCAGCGAAGACTCCTTGCCTTTGGCAAAAGGCTGGCCACCGGCCATGCACCTACCGTGCAACCCACTATGCCTCTTGCATGTGGGAAAGGGCGCCGCCCTATCAACCGCTCACACCACCGGTGAGGGACCTTGCGCACCACGCCCTCCCATGTGGCATGCATTGGCCATGTGGCCTGGTTGGCCACAGCGAAAGCAGACTCCCTTGAAGCGCGGCTGCTGGCACGTAGCAGGGGGGGAGCCCTTGATGTCCGAGTCCGTGTCGCGACCACCGGGACGGCCGCCGCGCGTATAGCCGAGGCGTGCACGCTTGAGCGCTGCCACATCCGCGACCGCCAGCTTGTAGGAGCGGGATGTCAGGACACTTTTGGACTGATAGAGCTGGAACCGGTCGGCGGCCTCGAAACCGGCTTCGTCCGCAACGAGAAGGACTTGGAAACGCTTATTAATAAGTATTTCGATATCCTTTACGTTGTTGAGTGCGCCGACGACGTCGCCGTGCTGCAGCTTGAAGTCGATATGCTTCAGGTACGCTTCGATGGCAGTGAAGACCTCGGCCTGGTCGCGTACGCCCTTGCGCATGAAGGTAGTAGCTGCGGGCGTGGGGCCAAGGGGGGGAAGGGGGGGGGCGGGTGCGAGGATGCGACGACGAGCAATGTTGGCGGGACCCTCACCATCGTCATTTTCGGAGTCGTCGCTGTCATCGGGGTTGTCATCGGGTGCGGGAGTTGGTGCCAGGGGCTGGTCGTCGGCGCGGGGAGCCTTGGGCGTGCGAGGATGGGTAGGCATTTCTTTCTTTTTGTTAAAATTGGTCGTAGGTGCAGCGTTATCGGATGAGGTTCCGACTGTAACAACAGGAGCTTGCTGCTGTAACAGCGCCAAAAGCGCTTGCAGCTGGTGCGCAGTCAAGGCGGGGGCGGCGGCGGTTGGCGCGGGGTCGGCGGCAGGCGCGTGCTGGGTGGTGGGGCCCGCCTGGCCTGCAGGCGACGCGCCTCGGGCTGGCGCGTGGACTTCCGTTGCCTGCACGCGCGGCTGCTTCTGGAGCAGCGTGACTGCCGCCGAGCAGAATCTCGACTGCCGAGGGGCCCTCGCCAAAATTGTCCTTAGCAGGACGTTTCTGACGTCGGTCGGTTCCCCCGGGCGAAGTTCCGAGCGCCTGGGCGTTAGCGGGGGTAGAAATGTTATTCACCGTGCGAGCCGGAGCAGAATTGGCGGAAGTCATCGCGGTAATATTGTGCTGCAGAATGTCGGTGAGGAGCGTTGTCGGAGCTTTGAAGCGCGGAAGAGACTGGGTTTTCGCCAGCTTGGGCGAGAATAGGAGACTAGAATTAGGACGAGAACTGGAAAACGAAACTGGAACTAGAAATGAAGAACGTGGGTGAGGTCGAATGGCCTCACGTCCCTCTTTTGTAGGCAAAAGAGGGTGAGTAGCGCTTCGACGCTGACCTTGCTGCGTTGGCCCTCGCTACACTTTCACAATACACATTTTTTAGAAAGTGTTACACGCTTTCAAAAAATTACATCTACGCACAAGAGGGTGGGTGGGCGGGGAAATTGAACTAGAGAAACTAGAAATGAAGAACGTGGGTGAGGCCGAATGGCCTCATGTCCCTCTTTTGTAGGCAAAAGAGGGTGAGTAGCGCTTCGTTGCTGCCTTTGCTGCGTTGGCCCTCGCTACACTCTCACAATACACATTTTTAGAAAGTGTTACACACTTTCAAAAAATTACATATTGTGAAAGCTTGCTTAGGTCCTCTTGTAAAGGCAGCGTGCTTCATTTCATCTGGGTCTTCTGAGACATGTGCAGAAGGGGTTGGCGGTGGCGTTGAATAGATAGCTGGTGCTGATTGGGCGTGGGAGCGGTGGCTGCGTCTTGGAGTTGCATGGAGGCTTGAAGGAGTTGGTCATGCGCGATGGTAACGTAGAGCTCCTTGGCATTATCGCTGCGCCAACGGCCAAGTCGCTTGAACAGCCGGTCGGATATCCCAAGGCTGGCTGCCGCTGTAGCAGCGCCCTTGCAAAAGGAGTGGGTGCCGAGGTGGGCCCTATCGAGGCCGGCCCTGGTGAATGCTTCAAGGCACCAGTTCCGGATGGTGGTGTACGAAGGTGCGTGGTCCTGTGGAGTTGCCGTACTGCTGTTCCCGAAGACTCGGATCAATGGCCCGTGTGGGGTGGAGGTGTGACCCACGAGGAGAAGAAAGTGTCGTGTGCAGCGTACCGGGCAGTATGGGCCGGAAGTGGCGGCGACCGGAATCCACGTGCCCCTGCTTTCCTGGTCGGTCTTGGAGTGCGGGATGAGCAGCCACATCGCCTCAGGCTCAAACTGTATGTCATGCCATTGGAGACTGACAAGGTCAGAGTAGCGTAGGAAGGCGGCGAACATAAGGATGGGGATGAGTCCTTTCTGGTATTCGGCCGGCCGGGTGGACTACAAAAAGGGGCGGGCCATGGTGTGCACTTGGTGCAGCGACAAAGGTTCCTTGTTCTGGGTGGGGCGCGGGCCATGGCGTTTGGCAAATTCGCGCACTTGTAGTGTAAATGGTCCAGTCGAGGGAGAGGGCTCGCCAGTCATGCGATGCACGAAGGCGACGGCGGAGCATGTAAGCGATATGGCAGATGTGGTGGCCTGGTGATTTAGTGCATGAATAAGGTAGAGTGCCAAGGTCATATCCGTTGCAGGCAGGTAGCTCAACTTCACCTTCATGCAGAAGGAGCGAAATTTGAGCCAGTAGGGCTCATACGTTCGGATGGTGGAAGGAGCACGGACATGGGTGATTACGTATAGCAGTTGTGTTTGCAGCTTCGTTATAATGCCTGAAAAGGTACAGCGTAGAGTACAATTATTATTAATTTTTATACATGACATGCAGTGCAATCATCTTACTAGGAGGAAAGCCTCGTCCTGCGAAAGCGAGTGCGTGTGTGCCGGGGCGTAGGCATTGGCTGCCGTGGGTGAGGGGAATGTGTGCCGTTACTTCTGGCACCCAGGCGTCAGGTGCCTGTTGGAGGAGTGGCCACCATGATGCTCCCGGCCACTCGGGAATGACCAAGGTCACCTCAGCGTGTGTGCGTTTAGCGTGTCGTAATGTGGCTGGAATGAGGTTGGGAGGGGGAAACGCAAAGCCGCGCTCGTGCTGCCAGCTGAACGAAAAAGCGTCAAACACTGCGGCCGTAGGGTGTGGAATCTTGGAACAAAACCTCTCCAGCTGAGCGTTGTGCACATTTGCGAAGAGATCGATAGAGTGGGGACCCAGGCGGCGATCCAAGAGCCGGAACCACGGGGCTTTGAGGGAGTAGTCATCGTGGTCTTGGATTTTTTAAAGTTCGTCGGCGTGCGCATTCAGCTCTCGTGGGATCCATTCGACATCTAGCCTTGTTTGGTGTTCCAGGCAGAGGCAAATGATTGCTTGACATAGTAGCGTAAGCGTGGGGTGGCGCGATCCACCTTTGCGTAGGATGAATACCACGCCTTGATTGTCTACCCGAACGAGCACGTGTCGCTTGGGTATGCGGGCAGCGAAAGTTCGGAGAGCCCATAAAACTCCTTCGAGTTCCCGTCGAGTGCTGGAGGTGGGCAGTAGTTCCTCGGGCATGCGAGCACTGGCTTCAATGGGCGTCCCAGGAAGTTGTGTCAGGGTGGCGCCCCAGCTGTGTGCGCTTGCATCGACGTGGATGACTGCATCGAACTGGTGACTGAGATGGAATGGGTTTCCGTTGAACTTGTCGAATTGCGCAAGCCAAAAATGCAGCTCGTGCACTGCTGTCGACGACAAGTGTGCCTTGGCGTGCCAAGAGGTGGCGTCTGCAATAAGTCGAAGGAGCTCGTGACTAAAGGCACGTGCCGTAGCGCCCAATGCCAGATTCATGGAGGCCAGCATTCCTGTGATTCTCGCAAGGGACCGGATGGGAACCGGTCGTCCCTCTTGTCCCTGGGTGATGAGGGCTTGGAGTGAAGCAAAAAGTTGTGCTCGACGTTCGAGTCCGACGGAGAAGGTGCCTTGGGCGGCATCAATCTCCAAGCCGAGGAAAGCTATCTGGCGCGAGGGGTGTAGATGTGACTTTTTGCCGTTTATAACAAAACCTGCTGCCTTCAGGTCTTGAACAACAGCTGCGCAGGTCGAGCGTGCATCCGAGTGGGAGTTGCAGAGGAATAGTAAGTCGTCGACATATGGAACAACCCGCACGCCGCTTGCCCACCATCGCTTTGCCAGTTGTTTGATCAGTTGTGTGAAGACGAACGGGGCAGTGGCAAGCCCGAACGGGAGCGATATGAAGGAATAGTAGTCTCCTTCGAACTGAAATCCCAAGAACTTCCAGCAGGAGGGGTGGATCTCGACATGGTGGTAGCCTGACTTTAGGTCGATGGAGAACATCCAATTGGCTGGGCGGATGAGTTCGGCTACCCTGTTCAAGCCTTCGTACTTGAACTTGGGGATGTCGAGGTAGTTGTTGACTTTGCGCAAGTCAAGAATGAGGCGACACTTGTCGCGCTGCTCCACCACGTTAAGTGGACTGACACACATGAGCGCGTCCTTCGTAGGGACCTTGATGGCGGCACCCGAGGTGACGAGGTCGCGAATCGCTCCACGAGTGAAGTCCAGGTGTGTGTGAACTCCAGCATGATTGCTATCCTCAAAGGCATGTGGCACGCCTTCCTTCCAGGGAAGCCAATATCCTTTCGCGATGATGGACAGGATGAAACTGCTATCGCACCATGAGCACCACAGTGTAGGGCGTGACGTAATCGACTATGCATGACAGTTACGTCCTTGTCTGTAACCGCGTACTCATAGGGGTCATGTTCGTTGTGTAACCATCCTTTCCCGATTTCTGCTGGACCAAAGGGTCGGGTGGCAAGAATCACATAGGTACCCAAGTGAGTGAGACCAGACAATTGCCTAAAGGGTGGATGTGTCCTAGTCAATTCCAGGGGGGGCATAGCTCCCATTCAGTTGGCAAAGCGAGAGTGGCTCATGTTCAATTGCAAAAGGGGCATGGCTGATATTCATGCCTTCTCCCTTCAGCGCTCGAGCCTTCGTCACCTCTCTCTCTCTCTCTCTCTCTCTCTCTCTCTCTCTCTCTCTCTCTCTCTCTCTCTCTCTCTCTCTCTCTCTCTCTCTCTCTCTTCTCTCTCTCTCTCTCTCTCTCTCTCTCTCTCTCTCTCTCTCTCTCTCTCTCTCTCTCTCTCTCTTTCTCTCTCGCTCTTTCTTTCTCTCTCTCTCTCTCTCTCTCTCTCTCTCTCTCTCTCTCTCTCTCTCTCTCTCTCTCTCTCTCTCTCTCTCTCTCTCTCTCTCTCTCTCTCTCTCTCTCTCTCTCTCTCTCTCTCTCTCTCTCTCTCTCTCTCTCTCTCTCTCTCTCTCTCACACTTTCTTTCTTTCTCTCTTTCTATCTCTCTTTTTCTCTCTCTCTTTCTCTTATGCTCTTTCCCTTTGCTTTCTCTTATGCTCTCTCTCTCTCTCTCTCATCCATTCTCTCTCTCTCTCTCTCTCTTTCTCTCTCTCACTCTCTCTCTTTCTCTCTTTCTCTCTCTCTCTTTCTCTTATGGTCTTTCTCTCTCTTTATCTTATGCTCTCTCTCTCTCTCTCTCTCTCTCTCTCTCTCTCTCTCTCTCTCTCTCTCTCTCTCTCTCTCTCTCTCTCTCTCTCTCACTCTCTCGCTCGCTCTCTCTCTGTTTCTCTCGCTCTCTCTCTTTCTCTCTTTCATCGAGGCCTTGCAAAAGTTTTTTTTTTTTTTTTTTTTTTTTTTGCAATCTTAGTTTCAATGCGCCATAACGGCATGCATGATCCATACATGGAATAACACAAGGTTCTAGGCCCACGGCCTTCTCTGCCCCTAGGGCTACCCTAGTCTACTAGGCCATTTGCCTTGTCCTAAGGCCGGCCACCAGCCATGCACCCCCGGTGCAGCCCAATATGCTTCTTGCATATTGGCGAAGGGCACCGCCCTTACCCCCGCTCACACCACCAGTGAGGGGCCTTGTGCTCCACGCCCGCCCATGTGACCTGGCTGGCCACAGCGGAAGCACATGCCCTTGAAGCGTGGCTGCTGGCACGTGAGAGGGGGGGAGCCTTTGAGGTCCATTTCTCCGTCACGGCCGCCGGGACGACCACCACGGGGGTAGATGGCGCGTGCGCGCTTGAGTGCAGCCACGTCGGCGACCGCCAGCTTGTAGGAACGGGACGTCAGCACACTCTTGGACTGGTAGAGCTGGAAGCGATCAGCGGCCTCAAAGCCGGCCTCATCCGCCACGAGAAGCACCTCGAAACGCTTATTAATAAGCGTCTCGATGTGTTTCACGTTGTTGAGTGCACCGGTGACGTTGCCGTGCTGCAGCTCGAAGTCGATGTGCTGCAGGTGCGCTTGGATAGCAGTGAAGACTTCGGCCTGGTCGCGCACGCCCTTACGCATGAAGGTAGTTGCTGTGGGCGTGGGACCAAGGGGGGGAAGAGGGGGGGCGGGGGCGAGAATGCGATGGCGAGCAATATTGGCAGGAGCCTCACCATCATCGTTTTCAGAGTCGTCGGTGTCGTCGGTGTCATTGGCGAGTGCGGGAGTCGGTGGCGGGGGCTGGTTGTCGACACGCGGAGCTTTCGGCGCGCGAGTAGGTGGCGGCATTTCTTTCTTCTTGGCGAAATTGGTCGTAGCAGTCATATTGTCCGAAGATGTTCCGAGCGTAACATTCGGCTGCTGGTGTAACAGCGCCAAAAGCGCCTGGAGCTGTTGTGCGATCAACGCGGGGCAGCGGCGGCTGGCACGACCTCCTCAAAGGACGTGTGCTCGGTGGGGCCCGCGTGGCCTGCAGCCGTCGCGACGTGCGCAGGCGCGTGGTCCTCCGTTGGCAGCTCGCGCGGCTGCGAAGCAGCCGCGCAAGTTTCTTCTGGAGCAGCGCGATTGGCGCCAAGCAGGACCTCGACAGCCGAGGGACCCTCGCCAAAAATTTCCTCAGCAGGACGTTTCTGGCGACGGGTGGTTGCCCCGGCTGAAGTTCCGGGCTCCACGGAATTGTTGGGGTTGTTCGTCGGACGATTCGGAGTCGTGTTCGCCGACGCCATGTTAGCGAGGTTGTGCTGCAAAATGTCGGTGAGGAGCGTCGTCGGAGCCTTGCCTCGGGGGAGGGACTGGGTCTTCGCCAGGTTGGACGAGAAACTGCGGAAATTGAACTAGAGAAACTAGAAATGAAGAACGTGGGTGAGGCCGAATGGCCTCACGTCCCTCTTTTGTAGGCAAAAGAGGGTGAGTAGCGCTTCGTTGCTGCCTTTGCTGCGTTGGCCCTCGCTACACTCTCACAATACACATTTTTAGAAAGTGTTACACACTTTCAAAAAATTACATGTATGCATCAGGGTCCTAGCAAGTGAGAAGCTACAAGAACTAGACCAAGCTGTACATCGTGCCGCAGATGATCTTTAAGCGCAAGCGCCTTCGTAAAGATATCACTTGTGTTGGCACCGGAGGCCAAGTGTACTACGCGGGCCTGGCGACGCTGTTGTAGCTCGCGCAGGAGGAAGTACCGCAGCTGGAGGTGCTTCGCTCTGCCCTCCAGTCGAGGCTCCTGACACTGGAGTATCATGGCCCTAATGTCAACGTACAGGACCGGGGCAGAGCTAGGCCGCTCACCTAAGTCTGTCAGCAAGAAAGTCAGCCAGCGGAGCTCCTGTGCCGCCATGGCACCAGCGTAGATCTCAGTCTCACAGCTAGATTGGGTCACAGACGACGAGCAAGTGGACCTCCATGAGATGACACATGCGCCAAGGCTAAAGCAGTAGCCTTGGGAGGACCTGAGAGTCTCAACGTCGTCGGCCCACGAAGTGTTTGTGTGCCCTGTAAGGACCACTCGCTTGCGTCCTCCTAGCACTAGCCCCATGTCCGCTGTACTTGCTAGATAGCCCCATGTCGGCCGACCAGTGCTGTGGTCGGTGTCTGTCAGTGGCCACAAAGCAAGCCCAGATGCTGAGAGGGTATGCAAGATTTGGACGAGTGCAAGTCATAAGGTACATGAGGCAACCCACCGGCTCTGCGTACAGACCACTAGGCTCTACTGACTCGTCAGGGACTGGAGTTGAGAGCCTCTCATCTACTGGCAGATGTGTGGGCTGTGCGGAGGTGAACTGAAGACTAAACCTCTGAAGGACCCGGCGCACCAAGTGTGACTGGGTGAGAGTGATAGTGCGCGTTGCTCTGTCCCTGGAGATCTGCAGGCCAAGGTAGCGGCGCAACTCTCCTAGGTCAGTAAAGGTGTGTCTCCTCAGCATCTCGGCCTTCACGGAGGCCAGTGCGTCTCTGTCTGCAGTAGCGAAGACCAGATTGTCTACGTAGACAAGGATGTACAACAGGGTCTGACCTGAATGAACGAAGAGTGAAGGGTTTGCAGAGGACGGGAAGAACTGCAGGTCAGCTAACATAACACGAAGCGTGTCGTGCCACTCGCACGGCGCCTGCCACAGGCCAAACACCGAGTCCTAAGGGGATGCCCCAACCAGGGGGGACGCAGTGAACAGGCCAAACACCGAGTCCTGGGGGAACGTGGTGAGGGGGCCACCAGTGGCGGCCTCGGTACAGACAGTGAACCATTCATGACCAGGAAGCATAGTGGTGACGCCAAAGTCCTGAAGACAGCCGACACCAACTAGGTTCCTAGAGAACGAGGGGACGTGCAAGCCTGTAAGGGAGCCCGAGGGAACCGTTAGACAGGGAAGGGTAGTGGAGCTACGTGCAACTACAGGACCTGAGGAGGGGTCCGCAAGCGCGACAGCGGCAAGGGCAGCAAGTGATGTAAGCGCAGTATGGTCGCAGAAGAAATAGGCAGATGCACCGGAGTCTAGAGTGAAGGGGAGAGTAGTGGTAGCATAAGTCAGTGGAGGAGCTAGAGTAGAGCCAAGGCTAAACAAGGCAAGAGGTCCTACCCCTGACCCACCGCTGCCACCACCACGAGAGTCGCCGGGCCACCCCAGCAGGAGGCGACCCCACTGCTGCTGCTGCTGCCGCCGCTGCTGCTGCTCTGGGGGATCAGCCCCAGCCCTGGGCCACCTCGGCGGGAGGCGAACCCACTGCTGTTGATATCGCTGCTGCTGCTGCTGCTGTGACTACTGCTGCTGCTGATGCGACCGCTGCTGCTGCGACCGCTGCTACTGCGGCCACTGCTGCTGCTCCGGGGGAGCAGCCTTGGGCTCCTGGTCGGGACTGCCAGCACTCGCACCACCTCCTCCACGACCGCCACCCCCACCACCCCTCCCTCCACCATACCCCCCCTTGGGGCGGCGGCCCTTATCCTGACAAGGCTGCACTGAGGCTACCGCGGCGGCGGTCTCAGCAGCAGGGGCTGTCTCAGCGACAGCGGCAGAAACGCCAGAGTAAGGGCACTTGGAGGGAGCACAACCCAGGAAGATAGGGACCGGTGCAGTACCTCTAGACTAGGCGATAGTGCGCTTGCGGGTCTCTATCACAGACAGGGTGGTGACAAAGGCAGTAAGGGTGAGGTCACTTCGGTGCTGACTAAGGAACTGGTCGCGGGCAGTGGCGAGGCGGTCAGGAAGGCGTGTGGAAATGAGGTAAAGGGTAGCGCAAAGGGGAGGAGGGAGTGTTTCGAGCTGGGCCTCAATGCTTGCAATGCGGTAGCTAGTCTTAAGGGCACGTAGATGAGTGGCAAGATTAGCGACAATGGGGAAGGACGCAAGATCAAGGAATAGCATGGGGAGGATCAGACGGCCAGAAGAGGCGGACGAGGGAGTGGAACAGCACGCAATGACTGCATCAAAGTACTCCTTCGCATTCGCTACAGCCATGAAGCGGGGGCGCTCAGACAGGGGGAGGGTGTGACTGATAGCAAGCTGCGCTACGGCATCGCGCGACTCCCAGACAGCGCGCGAGAGCTCAGCAGCGGCAAAGGCCTCACGCTCAGTAATGGTGGGGGAGTCAGAGAGGGCAGCGGTCGCGTCCGGGCGGGGGAGCTTACCATCGATATGGATGGCCAGGGAGTAGCCGTCCTGGCACTGACCCATCAGCTGACAGCGAAGGTCGACGAGCCACGCTTCAAAGTCGATCACCCGACCCTCCGCGTCCAAGTGGAGCTAAGTGTCCGCCATCGCCACGGCCGCAGCAGGTGACGGCGACACGGTGGCACAACGACCCAATGGCATGGCGGCACAGCGACACGGCGGCATGGCGGCATGACGGAATGGCAGAACGGCTGCACGATGACATGGTGACACGGCGGCACGGCGGCACTATGGCACGATGACACAGTGGCACTACAGCACGGCGGGACCGGGGTCGGCACGAACAAGGACCGGGGAGGGGGGGGTCGGCAAGCTAAGGGGCCGGTGATCGAGGGGCCGGGGAGCTAGGGGCCGGCTAGTGAGGGGCTGGCAAGGGAGGGGCCAGCAGGCGAGGGGCCGGCAAGCTAGGGCCGGCGAGCGTGGGGCTAGCGAGCACAGGGCCGACGAGCGCGGGGTCAGCAAGCTAGGAGCCGGCTAGTGCGGGGCTAGTGAGCGCGGGGCTGGCGAGCGCGGGGCCGGCGAACTAGGGGCCAGCGAGCGCAGCGCCAGCTAGCGCGGGGCCAGCGAGCGGGGGGGCAGCAAGCATGGGGCCAGCGAGCGCGGGGCCGGCGAGCTAAGCGGCCGGCGAGCACGGGGCCAGCGAGCGCGAGGCCAGCAAGCTCGGGGCCAGCGAGCGAGGGGCCAGCGAGCTAGGGGCCGGCGAGTGCGGGGTCGACGAGCACGGGGCTGGCGAGCATGGGGTTGGCGAGCGCGGGGCTGGCGGGCGCGGGGGCGACGAGCGTGGGGCCAGCGAATGAAAGGCTGGCGAGCGTGGAGGCGACGAGCGCAGGGCCAGCGTGCAAAGGGCCGACGAGCGCGGGGCCAGCGAGCTAACTCGGCGAGGGCGACCTAGGGTGGCTAGGGCGGGCTAGGGCGAGCTAGAGCGGCTAGAGCGGGGCATGCGCGTAGAGACAGGGCCGGCGCGGACTAGCGGCTAGGGCGACGCAGCGCGACGCAGCGCGGCGCGGCGCGGCGCGACTAAGGCTAGGACTAGGGCTAGGGGCAGAAGTGTAAATGGGGAGGGGGGACCTAACCTAGCATGATACCATCTCAGAGTAGGGAATTTACTAGAATGAGAGATACACGGTGGTTTTTAGCTAAGGGGTTGTACTCTCTAAGAGTACGCACCTACCTAGCCTATAGTAACATATACACATATGTTTGACACTAGGTTGGTTTTCAAGTTACAAGTGATACACGATAAGTGAATTTATTGGGCATCAGAGGGCTTGGTGATATG